GTACAATTCAGAGTCTGAGAGTTTTTTAAAGAAACAATCATTTTGTCTCTTGCCATTTCTGAACCCACCCCCCTGAGGTTACCTCTGCTAAGGATTTAATATTACTCCACACGCTTAACTATTTAATAACTTAAAAAACATGTAGCGTCCATAGGGCTTCCTTTTCTGTTTTTCAATAAAATGCAGCCATATTTTACATATTATATTGTTCAAGTTTACATAGTAACTTGTTTGTATCACTCAACCGAACATCATAGACATTCCTTCTGGTAACTGTGTGTAGATCACACTGTTCTTTACATAGTTAAAAAATTTTCCTGAGGGTGAATCTACCATATTTCATTCAGTCATTCCCATATGTATGGGCACTTAGTTTTTCATTTTGGAGGACTGCTTTTGTTTTGTTTTTGTTACAAACCCTGTTGCCACAAATATCTAAAGAGATTTTTTTTCTAAGAGACCATAGCTCTGCTCAGTTTACTTGTTACATGGCCTTGGGCAGTTACTTTCCTTCTTAATTGTGCACATGACCTTGGGCAGTTACTTTCCTTCTCTGACTCTCAGCTTCCTCATCAATAAAATGAGTATAATGACAGTCCTTACTTTTACATTTCTTCTAGCAATTAAATACAGTAGTATTGATTTAGTGCTTAACACCTTGCCTGGGACATAAGTAAGTATCGAATAAATGGATGCTCTTCATCCTTTCCTGCTGTTTGATCATCTCTCACTCCTGTTTTTTGTTTGTGTGTTTGTTGGTTTTTTAAAGGCAAGGAGGTGAGCACTGTGCATATTTGCTTAAAGCTAATAACTTAGATATTGTTGGCCCGATTTCTGGCTAGACAAGCAGAAGGCAGTGTTGTAGGCTGTAGAAAAACCCCAGTTTGTCAGCCCAGTGATTATTTTTTTTTTAATATGCTGTCCCTGAGGAACAGGATAGAATTTGTTTTACTTCTCTTCTGCCAGGAAGTAACCCTTCTGGCTTTGTTAGAAGCGTGGTTTGTAATAATTGTACCCACCCCAGATGGCTCCTGAAAACCCTTTGAAATGCCATCTGCCAGGCGTGTGTCCAGCCGGCAGCCTGTCATTCGGCTAGAAGAAAAGAGGAGGCGGGGTCCCTTCCCCTGCCCTTTTCTCCCTCGCGTCACTGAAGGGAGCCTGGTCATGTTGGCCCAGACCCAGGGCGGGTTGCTCAGAGGGTAACTGGGAGTAAACCTCCTGCTGGCCTGCAGAGTAGAAAGGTTTTGTCTGGGTAATAAACCCTGAAGGTTTTGTGGGTGGAGACTAACCCGCCCCCCCACTCCTTCCCCTGCAGGTCCAAGGCCACCAAACATATTTATTTACGTGGGAAAATGGTATCTCTGAGTTTCATTTTTTCTTCTAAAATGTAGCATTTTTTAAGTTAATTTTTTTAAAGGATTTTATTTATTTGACGGGGGGAGAGCACAGAGGGAGAAACAGACTCCTGGCCGAGCAGAGAGCCCGATGTGGGGCTCGACCCCAGGACCCTGAAATCATGACCCGAGCCAAAGGCAGACACCTTAACCAACTGAGCCACCCAGGCGCCCCAATTTAGCCTCATCTCTTGGGGAGTGCAGCATGGGATGGGGCGATAAATGAAGCTAATGGAATTTGGGTATGGAGGCTGAGGATGAGAGTTGCCCTGTAGATCACATTTAGGACAGACCCCTTCACAGCAAGTTTCAGAGTTTCTCTTCTTGCCCCACACTGGGATTTCCCAGTATGCTGTACACTGTGGTTTCCCAGGAGCAGGCTAAATGGCTTTTTTCACTTGGCTCCAGGACATCACACCCTCTTCCTTTGCTCCTGCCTTGCTGACTGCTACCTCTTAGTCTCCTTTGGGCGTCTTCCTTGTTTTCTCCATTGCTAAAAATTACGGGGTTTTAGTGTTCAATCAACTTTTTGGCTTCTTTTTGTACAATCCCTGCTCCCCCTGCCCCCTGTTATCTCTGTCTCTTGCCTTCAGATGCCAGTGGTTTACTCATCGCTATCAATTTTATGTCCAACCTGCACTCTGATCTTCAGACTTACCTGGTCAGCTGTGCACAGCCCTCCACATCTAGGTGTCTAATAGGCATCTCAGACTTCACATGTCTCAAAGTGAACTCTTACTGTTTTTCCCCTAAGAACCACTTCCTCCCCTGTCTTCTTGATTTTTGTAAAGGACACAAGGCCATTTGTCCATTTGCCCAGGACAAAGAATGGGATGTCAGTCTTTATCACTCTGTTTTTCTTACACACTCCATTCACTCCCATCAACAAGCTCTGTCTTCAAAATATAGACCTCCTGTGGCTTAATGAGTTTGATATGTCTGTCCTGTGGACTGTGCCACAGCTATTTGCAATATTCACAACGTAGGCTAGAAATCTGACTGCTTCTCACTAGCTCCACCCTACTCTTCTTGTCTGTGACCTGATTTTCTCTCCCGTGGACCCTGTAATAACCACCTCACTGGTCTCACTGCTTCTGTTGGCGCCCACCTCCCCCCTACTCTGCCCAAAGCCTGTTCTCTGTCAAGCTCAATGATCTTTTTAAAAGGAAGCCTAGCACCACCCTGCTGAAAACCCTCCAGTGGCTTCTCATCTTCCTTAGAATAAGATATGAAGTGTTTGCTGTGGCTTTTTTAACTAACCCGTTTCCATTACTCTGTCACCATTACTCTGGTCTTTTTTGCCCTTCCCCTCACCTACCAAGGCTCTGCCTGCATCAAAGCCCTGGCCCCTTCCCCCTGCCTGGAATGCTTTCCCATCACCTCAGCAGGGCTCTCCATTTGGGTGGCACCTCCTTAGCCAGGCTTTCCCTAATCCCCATCTAAAATAGCTTCCCTCCTCCCCAGCGTGCTTCCTTCTTCCAGGATACTTTTAAACCCTTTAACCTACATTGCTCTGAGACTCTTTAACCTGTTTCCTATGGAAGATTATTTCCACCTGAAATTTTGTTTTATTCCCATACACATTTGTTTTCTGTCTTTCACAGTAAAATATAAATTTCACAAAGGTAGGGGCTTTGTCTTGTTCACCAGGGTTTCCCCAGTGCCTGAACTGGTGCCCGGCATGAGTTGGGACCTCAATAAATAGTTATTGAAAAAAATGAAACCTAGTGAGAGATGTAAGGGGAGATATATATATGTATATATATATATATATATAGCATTTGAACTTTAGCATTCTATCAACTCATTTCCTTCTAATGATGACAAACTATCATATGTGCTGATGATTATTAAGCTATATGTCTTCTAAAAGGTTTATTTCATTCAGTACACACAACAAATCTATAGCGTAGGTACCATTATTATCCCTGTGTCACAGATGAGGAAACCAAGTAATAACAGAAGCTAAGGAACATGCCTAAGACCACAAGTTGGGAGGAGTGGCAAGCCTTGAACTTACCATTCCCACTGCAGGACCCTGCTCGGCAACAGTATATGGTATTCTCTATGTTTCTGGAGTACCTACTTACGTGCCTGACATTGGAGATCTCAATTTAAAAATTGTAAGCTACCTGAAAGGGCTTGTCATCATCTGTCAGGGGAGCCCGAAATGGGAACAAATCAGGAAATAGTACAAGAGTAGACCTCTGGACACAAACAGGCTTCTTTACCAGAAAGTTCCAGCATGTGGGACCTGCTAAGCAAACATGTGCAATACAACTATACTGTGGAGAGTTTGCGGCTATTTAAAACACTCCAATTTCAGATATTAGAAAAATCGGGCTCGTTTAAAATGTATTTATCCTAAGTTAAATATGCAGCAAGTGTTGAGGGTTTTTGTTTTGTTTTTTTACCTAAGAGAAATTCCCGATGGCCCCTGTAGGTGTGTGGATATGATCATTCTCATAGGGCAAGTGATGAGAGAACATTAGAGCCACAAGGTACATACTTTGAATTGCTTTAAAGTTTCTAGGATTAGGGGGAAATCCTTGCTTATTAAGTTCCTAGGAACTTAAGAAAAAAATCCCTGCTTATTAAATAGGAAAATATCAACCTTAGAGTACGACAGGTAACCGTGTCTTGCAAAATGAGTGAAGTTGATCCTATCACCTAACTTGAGTGTAAAAGCAGAAATCCGGTATTTTGCTCTTTTTTTGGTCTTTTCTAGTATTTGACAGGGGTTCCTAGTATACACTACATAATTGCTTCTTGGTTTGTGTGTAAATCACATTCCTTCCGCATTGCTTCTACAGTTTTGGTTGAGATGAGGCTAAAATGATAGGTCTAGAGCCTCGCTCCTGAGCTGGGTGACTCGAATCCTCTAGAGACCCTCTATTGTTCATAAGAAGAATTGTTGTATTTATTAGTCATGGAGAGAATGACCATATTCAAGGGGAGAATTTTCTAGCAAATTCAGTGCCCCTTCTCTCCCACCAGAACTTACGGGTGGCCTCTTTTCATCAAACATATTAATTACATGGACAGCAGCAGCATTTTAATCCCTGGGAGATATCCAACCACCGATCTTGGGCAATTGCATTTCTCTAGTGATGTGCTTATGCAGTGGATGTCATTTTCTTCAAAGGGCTTATTACATTGGAACTTGCCGGATATACTTCAGAACACAGGAATCTTGAGGCCGGTGTTAAAAATATAAACCCCTTAGGCTGTGAGCTTAAGGTGGATAACTTTTTAGTATCTACTAAAGTCCTAGCAGCCGCTGATTGTGCATGTTGTCCGTCTAAAATCCAGTGTGCCTTTTTCATTCAGTGCATTTTAAGAAATGATAAAAACTCACCCCAGGCTACCCAGCTGTGCTCAGTTTGCTCTTTCTCCCATTTGAAGGTCCCAAGCACAAGCGGATGGAAGTGAGGACGCTGTACTGTTAGAAAGAAGTTGTCTTTCCTAGGTCCCTGTCTGGGCAGATGGGTCGGCATGCTTAGACACTCCAGCCTACAAAACAGGTTATTCTAATTACAACCGAATGGGGAGCTTCCTGTTTTCATTGACTGATGGTGTCTTGTGCATTTGTCTTGTCGGCTGCAGGCACAACCCGGTCTCCCAGAGAAGGAGAAGTGCCTGGCGTGGACTATAACTTTCTGACTGTGAAGGAGTTCTTGGACCTCGAGCAGAGCGGGACCCTTCTGGAAGTCGGCACCTATGAAGGTGAGCGTTATCTGTGAGGGTGGTGAGCCTGCCTCTCTCCTGGGCACATCAGAGGATCGGGAGCCATCCAGGCAAGAGTGTTTTGTGAACTAATGAAGTCTAATCAACTATAGGAGATTCACCTTAATATGATTGATAAAATATATGGAGTAAGGCTTTGTAGAGCTCTTTAAAAATAGTTTCGGGGCCTTTTTTTTTTCTCCAAGAGGTTTCTCCTTTATTAATTGAAGACTGTGTGTGTGTGTGTATTGTTGTTGTTGTTGTTTAATATGGGCTTGCATGGTACTAGAAAAAAGAGGGGAAAGAATCATGGTCAATCACAAAATGTGACCTTACAAGTGTTGTTTTAATCTTGAAGGAATAGAATGTCATTTTTTTTTTACCACTAATCGATTTTTAATGTATTTTTGGAGTAGATAATACATGTATATGGCTCATGAAGCAAAATATCTCAAAAGTATTAAATAAGTAATCTCTTTCATATACCTATCTTTATCTGCCTAATTTCATATTCTCCTTTCTCTCCATGTTACATCCCGTGCCATTAGAGTTTGATTACCCTTCTGAAATTTCTTTATGTAAATATAAGGACACATGTGCCACGTGTGTATATAAACATATGTGTTCTCTGCATGTGTTCTTATTTCTTCCCTATTTTATACAGAAGGTAATATACAATACATGCTGTTTGGTACCTTGGTCTTTTAACGGTATGTCTTATAGTTCTTTGCAGTTTTAGTAATAGAGCACTTATTGTTTTGTTTTTTAAACGGCTGTGTAATCTCTTTGTATCAGCATGGCATGATTTATTTAACTAGTTCCCTTTGGATAAATATTTTTAATATCTCAAAGCACTACAGCATTGAATAACATGGGCATAAATCATTTCCCACAAGCGAAAATATGTCTATAGGAGGAGATCCCACAGATGGGATAGCAAGGTCAAAGCCAAATGTAGGGAAAAAATTCAAAGTACATTTTCTGAAAACAATATTGTAGCTAGATTGCTCTTTGAGTGTTATAATTTGAGACAGAAGAGCATAATATGATACTATTAACTAGGTCAGATTATTAACTTGGTCAAATTATTATGTGTATGTCTTTAAAGTCTTTTAAAATTTGGATTTATTTGGTGATCACAGGGGCATTCTCAAGAGTAGACTTAAAAACAAAATGTACGTACAACGTAGACTCTTATTTTATTAGGGATATTATAGCTTTGATATGATAATAACCCCTGTTCCAGGCAGTGACTAACAGTTAAGTAATGGTCATGGATCTTAGGTATGCTGATTATGGTTTGATATTCTTTGGAGAGGGGGGAGGGGAAGAGCATTATCTTTGTACCTCCAGCTCATTTCCAAATTGTGAATATACACTGGGTTGTGTTCAGATGTTAATCAAATTTCTGATTGTGAATTCAGGAGTATTTCCCTTGAGTATGTTGCTAATTATCAATTGTCTCAGTTTCCTTGAAGTATTGCAATATGACTGGTGGTTGGGGTAGTGGGAGGGCATCTGAGAAAACCCAAAGCAAGGATAATTCACTAAAGCCTAGGAGTGAGGTGAGGGAAGGAGGCTAAGTGGATGTACCAGGAGCTTCTTCAAGGTTGTCTTGCAAATGTGAATCTAGTTAGAAACTCAAGTGGCCCAGAATAGGGCAAATGTGAATCATCTTTCATTTTCAGAAAGTGAATCGTCCTTATATGAAATCCGTTGTTATGCCCATCTGGGGAGCTTGAATCCCCTAATGTAAAAAAAAAAAACACAAAACAACAAACTTCCATTTGCATTTTTGGAAAGGTTGAGGGTGGGAGTGGTTGTGCAATGCCAAAGAGCATATGTTGGATTGGAAGAACAAAGCATGTGGTGTAGACAACAACTTGTCTGGGAAACAAGGAAGATAAACTCATTTTCTCCAGTTGTTTATATTACAAATGACATATAGGTGGAGTCACTTTGTTTCCCATTTAATGGTATCGCTTTGGCAGAGGTAACTATTATCACGGAATTTTCAGATGGGTTTGCTGAGACCAAGTAGCATTTAGGAACATGTTCAAGGTTGTATCGCTGGTGCTGGAATGCTGGAACCCAGAACCAAACCCAGCTCAGTTTGACTTTCAGAGCCTCACACTCTTGCCCGAAAAACCCAAGAAGAATATCCTGGATGTAACTAAAAAGTCGTAGAAATAACTCATCCATACTTTCACTTAACTTCGTGGTGGGTAGCAACAGGGAAACGTTTTTCAGAGAGTGCCTGATCATCTCACATGAAGCTGTCTTTCTGTGAATGTTGCTCCGTTGTTTTGGAGTTGCAATTTTCTCATGGCCAGCATTAATCCATTCCATTTTTCAGCCATTTGATTGTTCAGTGTTTGTTAGCCTTTGACCTTTTTAGCTGTATAATTTCCCTACCATAGGAGACAGTTCATACTTTTTTGGAACCCACTGAAGTGTATTATGTCGACTCTTAGAAGCTGGAAGCAAAATGGAATTTTTATTAAATGCCAGATACTGTCACAGGAATAACGCTGGATAGATCTTTAGAGAACTCCCTCTCTCCTTGCCTCCCTTGGACGGGCCCCGACGGCGGTTGTCTGTTGGACACTAACAAGCGTGCAGGCCGGGCTACCGCCCTGCTTGAGATGAAATCTCAGCCCCTCTGCTGTGGAGCTGTGTGCCCTCCGGCAAGTTGCTTAATGCTCCATGTCTCCATTTTCCCTTTGGTAAAATGAGGATAATAATAGTGCTTCCTCATAGGTAGGATTAAATGAGACAATAATTGGAAAGGGCTGAGCACAGTGTCTGACACATGTAAGCTCTCAATCAGCGTTAGCTCTTACATTTACACACACGACTGATCCGAAATTGCCACCCTGGTGGATTCCCTCCCCCTTCTACTAGTCAGTAAACCAGTGCATTTGCCAGTAAAACATCTTTATTTACTTTCCTAGGTACTCACCATCTTTTTTCCTGCTCAGATTTTTGTCTCTTGGCCTGTCCTGGTTCCAGAGAGGAAAAATCTAGCACAAGGACACAAAACTCTTTTTTTTTTTAAGTTTATTAATTTTTTTTTAGTAATCTCTGCACCCACCGTGGGGCTCATACTCATGACCCTGAGATGAAGAGTTGCATGCTCCGAGTGAGCCAGCCAGGTACCCCCACAACACACTCTTTAATGCAAGCCACTTTGATCATTCTGAGTAAAAGTAATAAATGTACATGATGGAATCCTTACTATTACTAAGAATGTAAACATGTTTAAGTCCGGGTTGCTTCCCTTCCTCCCCGTAGGGAGCCACAGTGAAAGGATCTAGTGCAGAGATTCAGAAAATGTACACACACAGGGCATGCGCCTGTGGACTGTCGTTCATTTCCCTCTATTCTTGCCCTTCCTACTTCACGTGTCTTGGAAATCTTTCCATATTACCCCATGCAGTTCTATCTTGCTCTTTTAAAATGCTGTGAAGTATCCCAGTGTATGCTGACCAGTCCCCTGCAGGTGGACATTTAGGATGTTACCCGCCCCCACCCCCATTTTTGGTGCTTTGTAAACATGGCAGCAGTGAGCATCCCTGCACAGATATCTGGCTAACACTGTTCTGAATATGGCTATACCATAAGTTTCCAGCGGTGCAGTGTTCAAGCAAGCCCATCTACACATACACAGTTCAATTCAACAAGTATTTATTGAGCATTTGCTTTGCATCAGATGTTGTTCCATAGCATGAGGTGTGATGTACAGGATAGAAAACCAAAGCAGCTCTGCCTTTGAAGATGCTTACGCTTTTTAGTTATTCATTTTTGCCAGTACTTGTCCAGCATGCACTGTGTGCTGGATGCTCTTCAAAGTATGTTATAGGCAGCAGCTCACTTAATTACCCACCAATCCTGTGAGGTAGGTGCAGTTGATTCCCCATTTTACAGAAGAAGAGCATGAGGCCCAGAGAGGACAGTTATCTTTTCTAAGTTCACATGGTGAGCCAGGAATAGAGCTGGGATCCAAACCCGGGCTGCCTGGCCACACAGTCTGTCCTCTGCAGCCCGTCAGTGTTGTGAAGCAAATTAAACAGTTTCAAGAGAAGTGATGTGTGTTCCGAGAAGGGAAACAGGGTGCTCCAGAAGCATACGGCAAGGGCACTACATCTCATCTCCCATCAGAGGAGACCCCTTGTGGAAGTGACAGTCAGAGGACCTCAGGGTTTCAAGTGAGAGACTCAGGGACAGTGCTTGAGTTTGGAAGTCAGCACCAGCCTCGAGGTCTGAATCCAGAGAGAGCAAGTGGGATGAACCGAGAGAAGGTCAGAACATTGGTTCTAGAGAAGGAGGGACAAAGAGCCATGCCCTGTTTCCTTTAGAACCAGTGCAATGCAATAGAACTTCCTTCACTGATGGAAACGTTCAGTATTCTGAGCTGCCCAACATGGCGGTCACTAGCCGCATGTGGTTATTGTGACTGAGAAACTGACTTAAATTTAGTTTAATTTAAACTAATTTAACTTTAAATCGTCACAGGTATCTGGCGGCTGCCATGTTTTACAGCGCAGCTCTAGAATGAAAGCTTCCGCAGGGAAGGGTGAGCACCTACTCGAGAAGAGCCCTCCCTTCTCACTCAGCTGACTTCAGAGAGCTAAGCACATGTTTAAGAGTTAAGCTCCTTTAAAAAGGATAATTTCGAATCCTCCCGAAGAGCATATTACTGCAGAGCAGGGGTGATCTTCTTTTGTGGATACATTCAGTGACATGTGAAATGGCAGGCAAGTAGAATGAAGCAATAAAACCTCAGGGCCGGGTGATTGTCAATATATGTTTGGGGTTTAAGAGTTGCAGGGTTGTAGGATTTTAAAGCTGGAAATGATACAGAACTGAGATCCAGGGAGAGACTGGTCTAACACACTAAAAAGAATTGGGATAAAGCCTGGCCAAAAGCCCGTCACCCAAGTCATGTCACAGGCAGGACTGAGATGTCAGTATTTCCCATTCTGCTCCCTGGAAATGGG